TCCAGAGAGGAGAATGCAGGAGAAGGAATTGTGAGAATGCAGGAGAAGGAATTGCAGTGTGGCCACCCCCCTGGGGCGTGATTTCTTGCTTTCTGGCTCTGGTGAGCACACACTCCCTACTGCAAAAATTTTTCACAAAAAAAGGAAAAATTCAGTGAGATAATGTCCCTTATGGTTGAGAAACTAAGTGTCCATGCAAGCATTATTTTTTAAAAAGAATCATTTGATTATTATTGTTTTTTTTTTGTTTGCTTGTTTTTGTTTTTTTAAATTTGCTATAGGGCATGTGCTCATACCAGAAAGAGAAAAAATGAGAAAGGAAAGTGAGAAAGCAAATGTCCAGGTCTGGGATTCAAACTGTGGTCGGCCACTTTGGAAGTCCAGTTCCTTAACCACCACACTACCTGCTGGCCCTGTTAAGCATAATTTGAACTTAACCAATCTACCATCTCAGAAGATCTCAAATATTTCACTTTATTATGTGTTTTAAGAATTGCAAAATAGCTAATAAAGAATAAGAGCAACTTGGCAGATAGGCATTCTTAGTTTCATTGAAAGAATGACTGGGGCCTGGCCATAGCAGCCACATGCTGGACATTGCTGGTGGGCAGCCCAAGGCCACATGGAAGGGCTGAGTTTAATTCCTGGCCTACCCTAAAAAGCTGGGCTCGGTGGCATAGGCCTGTAGTCCTAGCTACTTGGGAGGCTAAGGCAGGAGGATTAAGACATAGCAAGACTTTTAACAAAGCAAAATAATGACTGGTAAATTCAGTCTTGTGAATTTTGAAGAATGTATCTTTAACATTTGTAATAGATCCTTTTTTGTGCTTCCTAAAGTGAATTAATACATTAGAGTCTTGATGTAAATTCCCAGTAAAGCCAGTGAATACACATAATAAAATTTCACCTGCCTGAGATCAGGCCCTTCGTTCAGTTTCTTCAGATTTGAGCTGGAATCTCTCTGTTTTGTTCATCTCACTTGTTGGAAAGTGGTAAGGGCCTGGAAGAACAAACCAGACTGAGGTCACCATCAACAGCTGTCTGACTTTTGTAGCCACAGGTGAATTTCTTAAACATAGTGTCAGCCACACATATAATTAAAAATTTTCTAGTAGCCACTTTAAAAAAATAAAATTAATTTCTCTCATATCTTATTTAATCAATACAGCCAAAATATTTTAACATGGAATCAATATTTTAAAATTGAGATACAGGGCCGGCAGGTAGCATGATGGTTAAGGTGTTGGATTTCCACATGGCTGACCATGGTTCGAGTCCCAGACTTAGTGACTTGCTTTCTCACTTTCTCTCTTTCTCATGCCGTATAGCAAATTCAACAAATAGTAAGTTTAAAAATTATATATCTATGTGTGTGTGTGTAGTTCATTATGACTTCTAAATCTATATGTTTTATACTCCTATCTATATCTCAGTTGAGACTAGCCAGAGTTTTGGAGGCAGGGCCCACCCAGTGACAGCATGGTGTGCTCCAGAAGGCAGCTGACGGTGACACTACAGTAAGAGCAGATGTTTTTGCCAACCCAGGAGTTTAAGCTTTACACCCTGCAGGCCATGAGAGCCATAAAAGGATTTAAGCAGAGAAGTGACATTTTTCATTTTGAACTTAATCTGGTAGCCTCAGGGAATATAAATTGGAAGAGGGGCTCACGCACAAAGCATATTAGAAGGCCGTTGCAATGGCCCAGGTGGGGAGTGATAAGGTCCCAAACTAAGAACCCTGGGAAACTGGACCACAGGAAGTGTGTGTGTAGGAGCTTTAGAAGGTAAAATTATTGGGACTTGATGGCGGCTACTGGATTTGAAGGGAGAGGGAGTACTTTAGGAAGCTTGGCCGGGTTCTGCCGTGAGCAGTTGGGACAGTAGTGTTAATGGGATGGGGGGGGGAGGGCGGGCTGTAAGAGCAATGGGTTCTGCATGGGACAGAATTGACTTTCAGGTGCCTTCAAAACAGGCAGGCAGCTGTGTCTAATTTGGCATGGATGAGTTTGCCCAAGAGAATGCAGTGTGAGAAGCTAATAAGGCCAGGTACAAACACTCACATACCTAAGATGCCAACAGAAAATGTTAGGCGACAGCATGTTAGGAAGTAGAAGAGGGTAGAGGGGCAGCAGAAACACAGAAGGGTTGGAATGGATCAGCAGGTTTAATAATGCTGGGAATAACTGCCCTCCCAGGCCTGCTGGGATCGGGGCTGAGATCAAAGCTGGCCTAATGCGGTTTGCAGACGTGTTTTGTTTGACTTTTGTAGGCTTGATCACACTGTGTTCTGAACTTAAGTTAGGTGCCAACATTTCCACACAGAATCTAGACTCCTGACTTTTCTTTAAATTGGAAAAGGAGTGGAGGTAGACTTGGCCACACTGATAGTCCTGAGTGGTAATAACAGCTGAAGTGTGGGCCCTTTCTCTCCAGGCAATCTGTTTTATCCCTTTATGTTATTTTCCTGGGCCCTGTTGATATTTGAATTTTCTACTTCTGAGCCAAAGACCAGTAGGTAATAAAGGTACCAGCACAGATTAGCGACAGATTAGAGGGCTGCGAATACCAAACTGAGGGGTATAAAATGTCAGCAGCCGCAGCCTTTGAATAAGGGTTTGAGGATGAGATTAAAGCCAGATTAAGGCCGTATTTAGGAGGATTATTCTGGACCAGTGAGAAAGTACTAAATTAGGGAGAACAGTTGCCAGTTTTTTTTTTTTTTGTAGTTATCAGTAATTTCCACTGTTTCTGGTTTATGGTGGATGCTCAATATGTCTTCCATTGAATAGAGTACATTTTTTTCTATTTGATCCGTGAGATTGAAGAAGACAGAAACTTTCTTTCTTTTTTTTTTGGAGAGGTTTCTGCTATAGGGTATATACGCTCGCCAGACAGACAGAGAGAGAGAGAGAGAGAGACAGAAAGCGAGAAATCACCCCCCGGGGGGGTGGTCATGCCACAATCCCTTCTCTACCATTCTCCTCTTGGGATCTTGGGCACGCACGCACACGCATCTGGCATGCGTTTAAGCCACCGGGTCCAGGACTCGAACCACAGTCAACTACATAGGAGTCCAGTGACATAGCCATTACGCTAACTGCTGGTCCCAACAGTTGCCAGTTTTGAAAGGGAAGAGAGAAACAAGATGGTGTTGGGATAGACAGATGGGATTTGGAAATGTAAAATGGAAGTATCTCAGAGAAATGTCATTAAGAACGGCTACTAACTGCCACATGGAAATCACATGGGCCACTGAGCTTGGTGGCAAATTTGCTGAGACTTCTAGAGCCTATGCCAAAGTTTGGTGTAGGGGACAGTGACTGTCAGGGGCCTTACGGAAAGAGCAAAGAAAATCTACTTCCTGGCTGTCTGTGACACGCAGTCTATTCTAAGTGCTGTAAGTGGAGGAAAAGTTGTGGTTTTTGTTTGTTTGTTTTTAAGGGCTAAGTTATCTGGTCATTATTAACTGGGGCCAGGCATGTACTAAGCACTTTGCACTGGTATCTTATTTAATCCTTATAACCACCCTCTGAAGTAGTAACTATGGCAATTTCCATTTTACAGACAAGAAAACTGAGACCCTGGAGGTTTAGAATGTACCTAACGTCGTAAGGCTTAATAAGGGATGGAACCAGGACTTGACTGGTCTGACTCTCCAGAAGATTATTTGTTATGCATTTATTTTTTAGACAGATCTCATTGTGTCACTGTCCTCCTGCCTTAAACCCCTTGTAGTCCCCTTGCTGGGATGACAAGTGTGCCCCACCATGCCTGGCTCCTTTTTAGACAGGGTCTTGCTTTGTTGCCTAGGCCACCTTCAAGCTCGCCATCCTCCGACCTCAGTAACTGGGTCACCAGGATTACAGGCACACGCTCCTGTGCCTGGCCTTCATGTTGGACCAGGAATCAAACCCAGGCTTCCCATGTGGTTCCAGCCTGTGGAGCACACTATCTTAGCAGCACATACCACCATGGCTGGGCCCATAGGCTTATCTTCTAAATACTGTAACAAACTGCCTGTATATCTCTATCTGTTCTGAGCTACACAAATAGGCAGCTTCACAGGTAGAGACCCTGAGGCTTTCTTGCCTTCTTCCTGGAAATTCTCGTAAAACTTATTTCAGGAGTATCGTTTGGTTAGGATCCTCTTAGAAGAAAAGACGCTCCAGAACTGATCCTTTAACTGTCTTTCAGAGAGCAGATAATGTACTGGGTCTCTGGGTGACCTGGAAAAAACAAATTCATGTGGTATGTTCTCTAGCTCATGGCTCAATGTTAGCTTATAAAGTGTGTTAGTGACCCTTTATTGAAAAAAATTGTTATTAAAAAACTCATTTTTAAAAAAGAATTATTTTATCTATCTATCTATTTTAATTTAACCAGAGAGGGACAGAGCGAGAGAAAGAAAGAGAGGGAAAATGAGAAATCAAACCACTAGGCCCAGGACTCGAATCGCAGTCAGCCAGTCATGTGGGAGTCCAGTGCCCTTAACCACCATACCACCTACCCGCAAAAAACTCATTTCTTTAAAATAGATACACGTATTTTTTAAAATTAGTTTTTGCTATAGGGTGCATGCACTCTCCAGAAAGAAAGTCAGAAAGTGAGTCGTCCCCAGAGGGGATGGTCAGGCCACAGTCACTTCTCCTCCAGTCTCCTCTGGAGATTTTGGGTGCACACATGTCCAGCCTGATTTTCAAGCTGCTGGGTCTGGGACTTGAACTGCCAAGTTGGCCCTGTGGGATCTAGTGTCTTAACTTCCATGCCTCTTGCTGGCCCGAAGCTCATTTTTTTTTAACAGTAACTGAATCATGCTCAATATTCTTCATAAGTTTTCATGAAAAATCATCACAGGACAAATTTTATAAACATTTGAGATGGGAAGGTTGGGGTGAGAGTCTGTAAAATAATAGAGAAACAGATGCATTTGTTCCAAAGCGTCAAACCTTGTCGAGGTTTCCTACCATATTTAGTGTGATGTCTTTCTCCTTGGTCTACAGGTGAAACATGTCAATGAAAGATTTCAAGATCAGGAAAATAAAGAGGTCGTTCTCATGTGCATTGGCATCACTTCAGGAGTTGGACGACTGCTCTTTGGCCGGCTTGCAGATTATGTGCCTGGCGTGAAGAAAGTTTATCTACAGGTACTTTTATATACTCTCCCCCCAGCAGAATTAGCCTGTCTGACGGCTCACGGAATGTGCTTATATGCTTAAATTCTTCTGTGAAAATAAAAAATACTTTCTAGAGCATAACTTCTGTAGGCAGTTTTTCAAGGACAAGATCAGTTGTGAATTTGGGTTTTAAACATGAGAAATTGGCAGTCAAACAATAATTTCTTTGTTTTGTCATGGAACTACACCAAACCAAAATGTTTTTTGCTCATTGCGTTTTCTAAGAAGAATGTTTTATTTTTGGCATAGTTCTCATAGTCATGTGCAGATCTTGGGCTTTTTGCACTATTTTGTGAAATGTGTGTGTCTGTGTGTGTGTGACTTTTGAGCTTCTTAATTGCAAATTGCCTCCTGAATTTTGTGGGTTGTGCATAAACAAATACTAATTCTCAGATCGTTGTGGATATTCAACAGGTATTTCGCTCCTTCAGCCAGACGGTGTGCTAAAGGCCGCAGGGTTAAATGAAACATGGGCTGGGTCCTGGGTTAGTAGCTAATAGTCCCATGAGGCGACAGATAAACTAATGTTGCAGCATAGTGGATGACCATTTTCTGCTGCTGTAACAGAATACCATAGACTAGGTCATTTACAAAGAAATTTAGGGCCAGCCCTGCAGCGCAGTAGTTCGGTACTGTGCATAGGGAGCCAGTTCCCACACAGCTGACCATGCTTCACGACCTGGTCTGATGCCTTGGAAGACATGCTGAGTGTATGTGTGTGAGTGCCCAGGATCCTAAAGGCATGGAGTGAAGGGAGGAGAAAGGATCATGGTATGGCCTTGCCCCATTAGGGGGTACTTTCTCGCCCTCTCCTTCTTTAGTGAGTGCATGCAACCTCTAGCAAGTGAAAAGAAAAGAAAGGAAATTTATTTTGCACAGCTATGGAGGCTGAGAATCCAGGAACATGATGCCAGCATCTGGCAAAGGCCTTTGTACTGCATTACCTCGTGGCAGAGGCCAAGAATGTGAGACAGAAAGAGGAAGAAAGGGGCCCAAACTCCTATAACCAACTCATTCCTAAGATAATGGTACTAATCTATTCATAAAGGCAAGGAGGGCTCTCATAACCTAATCATGCCTTAAAGAGCCTTTCTTTGGCCAGCAGGTGGTGTGGAGGTTGGGGAGGCTAGATCCCACTGGATCCAGTGGCATTTGTGTGCATGTCCAAAATCCTGAGATGAGAAGGTATTGGTGTAGCCATGCCCCTGCTCCTCAGGGGTGATTTCTCACTTTCCCTCTCTTTTTCTCTCTCACTCCAGTGAGCACACACACCTCATAGCAAAATTAAAAAAAAAGAAAAAAAAGAAAAAGAAAAAGGAAAAGAAAAAAGTCCTGTCTTTTAACACCATCACAATGACAGCTGATTTCAACATGAGTTTGGAAGTGACATTCAAATTATAGCAGTGGAAGGATGGATATGTTAGATAGACACTGTGGAAACATAGGTATTGAGCATCCAAATCACTGGTAAAGGTCTGAGTGGTGTTAAGAAGTGAGTAGTGAGCAAGCAGGTGGCATGGTGGTTAAGGTGCTGGACTCTAACATGGCTGTCTCAAGAGGTTCGAGTCCCAGACCTGGCAGTTTGCTTGCTCTCTCTATCTCTGTCTCTCTGTCAGTCTCTGGTGAGCACATGTGCTCTGTAGCAAATTAAAAACAAATAATAATGATAAGTAAGAATAAATAATTCTAAAAAAAAAGGCAAGTAGTGGGGCCAGAAGGTGGTATGGTGGTTAAGATACTGGACTCCAACATGGCCAACTACAGTTCAAGTCCTGGACGTGGTGACTTGAAAATCATGTTGGACATGTGTTTGTGCATGCTGGAAATCCCAGAATAGAGAAGAAATTGCAGCATGGTCATTCTCCCTGGGAGGTGATTTCTCACTTTCTCTTGGTGCATGCACCCTGTGGCAAAACAAAAAGGCAAACAAACACAACTCAAACAAAAGACTAGTAGTTATATGGATAAGGAAGGCAGAAAAGGTATTCCAAACAGAGGAAACCACACAGCAGATGTGGAGGTGCAACATGCTATGTTCTATCTGGGAAACTGAAAGGAATAAAGGGAGGATGAATGGTTTGGCTGTGGAGAGAAACAGGTGGTAGATTGGGAAGAGCATTTATGTGCATAAAAGAGGATGAACTCTGTACTGAAATCTACCACGAACTGTTAATAGGGTTTTAGGCAAGAGAATTAGGTGAGATTTTTTTCCTTTCCAATTTCCAGAGAGCACGTGTGCTTGCCATAAAAAGAGAATCTATGGACTATAGTTAACCATTGTACTACAGGGCCAACCTTGAATTTTACTGATCTTTTTTTTTTTTTTTTGAGAGGTTTTTGCTATAGGGTGCGTGCGCTCACTAGACAGAGAAAGACAGAGAGACAGAAAGTGAGAAATCACCCCCCAGGGGGGATGGCCACGCCGCAATCCCTTCTCCTCCATTCTCCTCTCGGGATCTTGGGCGGGCACGCACGCACACACGTCCGGCGTGAGTTTTAAGCCACCGGGTTCAGGACGCAAACCGCGGTTGACTACATGGGAGTCCAGCAACACAGCCATTACGCTAACTGCTGGTCCCGAATTTTACTGATCTTGATAAGACAGCAAAACTATTCTTTACCTAAGGCACACATCTCAGACTCAGTTTAAGTGGCTCTACTACTGTGTTCCTGACTTACTCTATTTGATCATAACTCTTCTGCCTTGGTTCTTCCTGCCTCGACACTATGTTAATCTCTAACCCTTCTCTGTGCCTCCATTCTTTTTTTTTTTCAAAAAAGCTTTTTTTTAAAAGGAGATTTTTTTGCTATAGGGCGTGTACACTCTTCAGAGAGACAGAGACAGAAAGTGAGAAATCATCCCTGAGGGGGGATAGCCACACTGCAATCTTCTCTCGGGATTTTGGACATGCACACATATGCGCCTGGTGTGAGTTTTAAGCTGTTGGGTCCAGGACTCAAGCCATGGTCAACTATGTGGGAGTCCAGTGATGAACCATTATGCCATCTGCTGGTCCCAATGATAGTTTTATTAAGATATAATTCTCATCACAAAATGTAAAGTGTACGATTTTTTCGTTTCTAGTATATTCACAGTATTGTACATCATCATCATTCTCTAATTTCACATTTTCATCACTCCCCAAAGAAACCCTGTACTCAGTAGCAGTTATTCCCCATTCCCTCCTTCCCCAGCCCCAGGCAACCACCAGTCTACCTTCTGCCCTATGGATCTGCATAGTCTGGACAATTCAGACAAATGAGATCGTGTAACAGGTGGCCTTTTGTGACTATCTCAACTCTTGCCCTCTCCTCCACTCCATTGCCCTTCACTGTTTCCTCTGTGGGAAAGCCGAGTGTAGAGTTACAGGAGAGTCTGATAAGAGACCTGTGGGACTTTGGCGTTCATGTGCTGTATGGGGTAAGCGGAAGACTAGGGGTCTGCCAAGGAAGACTGAAGGGGAGTGACCAGATTTGCAGGAAAAACAAAACAAGGAATAGAGATGTTTCAGGGACAGGAGCGGTCAGGAGTGTCAGCAGCTAGTAAGAGGAAGACAAAAGCTTTTCACTGGATTCGGAGAGAGGCCATTAGTGACCTAATGGAGAGTGGTTTCTGAGGAGTGGCCGGTGCAGTCGTGACCTGTGGGATTCATGTAAATAGAGATGACTTTGTTCAAAAGTTTGGCCATTAAGAGAAAGGAAAAGGAGAGCCAAAGCGGGGACTTGGGGACTCAGCATGTCTGCTCACGTTTTGTCTTGAGCAGGGCTTTGGAAACGGTGAAATGTGGGCACAGGGATATGACTCGAGTGACTTGTATGGATCGACAGTAATAGGAACCCCCATCATCTTGGAAGCACTTTCACATGGCAGACGGTGAACTAAGTGCAGACATGCCCTCTCTCATTAAGCTTTGCTCCAAGATGTGAACACTGAGGAATAGAGGCTGCTTCACTGTGGATGTCTGCATGTAAGTCCAGGCAGACGGTTGTAGGAAGGCGCCTAGGCGCACGGAAGGATGGTAGATAGCTAGTAGTGTGCTACTTTAAAAACGATTATATAATGACCGCTCCCCCTTTATCAACACCTCCTCGTGCTTCTCATCTTACATTCAGCGCCATTCATTCTTCTTCCTCAGTGTTGAGGGAGCCCTCTAGTGGACACCTGTTGCATTGCAGACTCTCAGTTCCTTTCATTCCTTTAAAAAATTGAGTGCCTCCTGCGGCCCAAGCACCAGCCCAGACCTGGCAGGAGGATTCAAACAAGACAGACATGGTCCCTGGCTTACCAGAGAAAGACTGAGGCAGGGTTTGGGAACCCAAGACGGAGAGATCGGTATGAAGAGGTCAGAAAGCTAGGAGGGGCCAGATCATGCCTTGAAAGCCAAAATGAAGAGATTTTACTTTTAGTGGACTTGTTTTGGAGAATGCTGGTCAGGTCTCACATTTGAAAGTTACCACGACTGCAATGGATGTGGGGAGGCGGTAGGTTACAGGGGGGGAAGCAAGGCCAGCTGGGAGGACACAGTGCTGCAGGTGGAGGTGATGGTGGCCCGGCCTAAGGTGCCACAGCGGATGAAGTCATGGTGCATCTTACACAGGAATGCTTTGTATTCCAAAGCAATTTTCAAAAGATTTTCCCCCACAGATGGGGCAGTTGGGTTATTTGCAACATTTGGGGGGGCGCATTTAAATACTTCAGTATTTCAAGTTACTTTGCAAAAGAAAAGCAAGCCTTTCCTAACCTGTCCCAGATGTGGGCTGCAGTTACAAGTCAGTATTATGAGTCAGATGTCTCATTTGGGATGAAAAGTTAGCGACACCTGGCTCCTTTGGGCGCCGTCTTTGTCTCATCCAGACAGAGAGGAGTGCTGGGCACCCGGTAGCACAGGCTGAGTCCCAGGTGCAACGATTGCATTTCAGAGAGGCCTGTGGAGGAGCAAGGAAGCCCTTCGGTGTGTGCCATGCCTGCT